TACACTGTAAAAAATGACCGTGAATTTAACAGTAAAAGACTGTAAATATGCTACGGTAAAAACCTGTTAAATGGTTAACAGTAAATTCCCCTACTATATACGGTGAAAAACTGTATTGGAAATTAATTTTACGGTAGTATACCATTTTTGGAAGTGGAAAAGACCGTATAATTTACAGTGAATAACCATAAGTTGACATTCCCAGAATTCCCTGCGTTACATTTCAAATTTGATGTTTTTTTGTTGAAATAACTATGTTTCTTCTTAGTTTTTTCTTATCAGTATATTTTATGTATTTTCTAAACTAAACTAAAACTACACATTAACAATTATACTTTTAAGCAGTGTATTGGTAGTAAGTAGCTACTTATATGGGTAACTTTTTTTAGTCGCTACTGCATTCCGCTCAGTGTTGCTGACTAATTCTCATGTAAAGTTGCTAAAGGCAGGTCGTTTTGTTGCTAAAAGTTGCTAAATGACCTTGTGACATTATTGGATGATGTCATTATGTTACCACAACACAAAACTGTGTCATTGCGTAGAATAAACATTGAACTTAGGCTACTCAGATCTCAGCAAAGAATGTAATTTGATATTCATTTAGATTTGTTTGTAAAAAATAATATAAACATTTAATATATATTATTTGTGATGCCTATGAACACATTTTTACATATTTTTTATTTTGTATTTGTAGCCTATTTGATGTATTTTCTAAACTAAACTACAACTACACATTAACAATTATACTTTTAAGCAGTGTATTGGTAGTAATTAAATGCTACACAAGAAAAGTCCAAAAATAGGGCACAGTGTACTGTGTAAATATGAAGGAACTTTCTGTATTAATTCTTTATCCAGTATCCAGTATTTAAAATTACACATTGCATTTCGATAGATAAATAAGATAAGATCGACCCCGCTAAATTAGCATCACTCCGCTTCTCTTTCATGATTCGAATCGCGCGGCAAATATCAGCGCGCGCACAGTCGTTATCTGCCCACATCTAAAGCGTTCCGCTTTAAGTAGATTATTTTAACTAAATAACGTTACATACCAAACCCTAGTTTAACATATTCGGTGGTTTCACCTTCGATTATTTTCTCACTTGGCCGATAATGTCCGTAAAGTGTCTCCTATTCCGATGATTAGCTTCATCACTTCTAACGCTAATACGCTAACTTGCCGCAAACCGCTAAACTTTTCAACTTACGAACAAACAACAGCGAGACAAAACATTAGCAGCCATTTCGACTACGGTTCTAATTCTGCGTTTAAATGGCTGACCAGTTTCTTGAGGTAGATAAGTTAAGAGACACTCTGCGCGAGAGTCTGGAAATGGATGACAAACGACAGGAGGACATCAGCAGGTGACAGCAGGAGCAGAAATATCAGCTTTTATTTCTGGTTTACCTCATCTCTGGTCTGTTTGGTCAGTATAATTGTGTACGAATTCTCCCCCGTCCACAGACAGGATGTTTTGACGCGCATTGAGAGAGTCATTCAGACGATAGTCATCAGCGTGTCTAAAGGAGAAGCACCTGTGCTGAGATTGATGAATAGATGCAACTGGTCCAATGTCAGGTGTGTGTGTGTGTGTCCCATGTTTATTTATAAAGCCTAATTAAAACATGCAGTATCTATCTATCTATCTGTTTGTCTATATGACTGTCTATAGTACTTCCTCTGAACTTTTATCCTCTCAATTGAAATAACTTCCTGACTCTAAATAGGTGTTATTTCATGAGAGGGTTAACCCCGCCTCCCCCCTCCAGGTCTCTTGGACATAGACAGACTTTAAATCCTCTGAAGAGGTTTTCACTGTGCACACTGTGTAATAGCCCTTGTGCAGAACAAAGAAAACTGTCTGGTCAGATCTACATCAACCCTCCCTAAGGCTTAAAGCACGTTTCATCTGGGCCCCTCTGAGGCCAGGGGCCTGACAGCTTGGAGAATGCCTTGGACTTTGCCTTATTGCTGTTATAAAGGTATCCTTTGGGCTAGCAAAATGACTGATAGTTTTAATAGCAGATATGAGAATGAAACACTCATTTAAGTGAATTACTTCGTAACAATAAAACAGAAATAAAACCTCACAGTACTTTTTCCCAGAGCAGCATTTGGTAATGATCATCATAAGATTTCTTTGATGAGACGTACACCCAAACATGAAGTAACTCCTGAAGTCATCTTCATTTGTCATCTTTATTTGTGCACATTTCAGAGTTATGACTTAAGTGAATTAAATGAGCAAAACTGATGTTGCTATTACTTTCAGATTTCACGAGTCTGTTGGTTTAGTAGTACGGAAGGCAGATGTCCCTGTGACGACTCTCCGATGTGACTGCCCTTTATCAGCCACCAGATTTGGTAAGATCACTCTGGATTACTTGCTTTTACATATTCATATTTACAGATCATTTAAAAGTAATCACATGCAAATCTGTTTTTTTAATGTGGATATATTCAAACTTTCAGTTGTTACTGTAAAGTAATCTGGCGGACAATAAAACAGGCAAAAAATACCATATACTTGCATTTAAACATGGACCAAATCATATATAGAGACCAAAATACACTGTAAGTAAGAAATCTGTAGAAAAATGGAAAAAGTACTGGTCATTTTCTGCCAAGACATTATCTGTTAATTTAGCACAAAGCAATCTGCAAGTAAAACAACTGTGAAAACTCAATACAAAAATTCCTTCTTGTTAGCGCAGTACATTTGGCCTTGTTTTTATGGACTTTTATGGAGTGTATCATAGAGACTCTTTTGATTGGGCCAGTAAGTAACCACTCACAACATCCTAGCAACTACATAGCAACACGCCAAAAACCACTAAGAACATCTTAAGCCTGATTCGGACGGTAATTGTTTCTCATGTGGACGTCTGTAAAAATACATTTACATTGCACCTCAGTGATAAAACTCATGGATTCGGATGGCGATTTATTCACAGTGGAGAAGCAAGTAGTTAGCATCCCACGAACCCATGAACGCGCTGCTCACGTGGCTAGTCACATGATTGTCTGCTGTAATTAAAATGAATTTTATTTACCAATTTTTTCTTATGATTGTGTAAAATGTATTCAAAAATGACTTATTATGATGTTAAAGGTATTCTTATAATTCCAAGCATATTTTAGAATATAATCCTATTTATTATTTGATTATTTAAATCTCATGTTTAAAAATAGCCAAATAGACGCTATAGGCTATAGTTGTATATAATTACACAATATAGTTATGCATATAACTGTATATTCAATTCAATTCAAGTTTATTTGTATAGCGCTTTTCACGATACAAATCGTTGCAAAGCAACTTTACAGCAAATTAAGTTTCTACAATATTTAGTGGTAGCTTATCAGTGGTCAGACTGTCAGTTAATGTACATATGGCAGAAATGTACGGAAAAATCAATTAAAGACGTAATCAAACAGACGATGAACACTATTAACAACAATTATTATATGATGCAATCAAACATATAGCAAAATGTGGTAGTTCTGTAAGTTGTTTCAGGGTTGGCATCATCTGAGGTCCTCTGAGGGGTTGGCATGTGTTCTGGATCCAGACTGAAGCTTGTGGGGATGTCAATCCCGTGGCAAAAACAGAGAAACAAATAGAGACATAATTAGCGTAGCTGCTGTTCCAACCAAGCAAAATTGATTTGTTTAACCCAAACTAAAGAATAATAATAATGTGCATTTGATCAGATATAACTGCAGTACAAGATTATGATATGCATTATTTGAATGCTTGGCCAAAGAGATGTGTCTTTAATCTAGATTTAAACAGAGAGAGTGTGTCTGAACCCCGAACATTATCAGGAAGGCTATTCCAGAGTTTGGGAGCCAAATGCGAAAAAGCTCTACCTCCTTTAGTGGACTTTGCTATCCTAGGTACTACCAAAAGTCCAGAGTTTTGCGACCTTAGGGAGCGTGATGGATTGTAGCGTGGTAGAAGACTAGTTAGGTACGCAGGAGCTAACCCATTAAGGGCCTTATAGGCAAGTAATAATATTTTGTAACTGATACGGAACTTAATAGGTAGCCAGTGCAGAGACTGTAAAATTGGGGTAATATGATCATATTTTCTTGACCTGGTAAGGACTCTAGCCACTGCATTTTGGACTACCTGTAGCTTGTTTATTGAAGATGCAGGACAACCACCTAGCAGTGCATTACAATAGTCCAGTCTAGAGGTCATGAATATATAATACACATTTTAATACTGCATTGCATACCTGCTTCTGCCATTATAAACACCCATTTCGAATGTTTACGTGCTTTTCTTCTCTTTCTGCTCCCGCTCGCTGTGGTGGAGCAGTTATAAAATATTGTTCTTGTAAATACTTTCCAGCATTTCAGAAATAAATATGCATGCAAATTACAGCGAAGTACAGCAGTTACCATACGGTGTTCAGCAGTGGTCAAAAAGGATTTAAACACTGAATTTTGAATTGATTTGTTCTTGTAAAGATGTGGATTCGGACGGCAATTAAATTACAACACGACCCTGGTGTTTGTCAAAAAACAGTAGGTAATTCGGCGGGGGATTTTTATGCGTGTCGTGAGAGAAAAACACCGACATTCTGGATTCGGGCGGCAATGAAATCACCAACTACCCCCTGTAAATGGTGAAAACAACCTACATCCCCATGAGAAACAATTAGTGTCCGAATAGGGCTTAAGAAACCATACAGCAGCCCTCTGGCAACCATGCGCACATAGCATTGTGATAGTGAGTTTTGCACAGGCAAAAAATGTAAAATTCTAATTGAACTAATATTGTCAGCTATGACTATCTGATATGTTTCTGTTTTACAGCCCTGATTTTGAAGCTCTTGTCTGTTATTTACAAACTTGTACAGAGTGACTCCTATGCTACTAAAAGGTAAGTGATATTCGATACAAACTTTATAAGTTAAAATGTGGTCAACATTTATAGTTACGTTTTTATTAACTGTTAACCTTCAGTGGTTCACTTTATATGGTTTGTGTTGAGACAAATACATTTTTTTAAAGTACATAAAATTTGTGTTCCATATTTGCTTGCATAAAAATGATTGTAAAAAATATAAAATGCTGTTTAAAATAGTTTTAGATGGAGTTCAGCTTGTCGTACTGCAGGACTTCTTAGAATTATTTCATGTCAGCTACCCAAGATCTATATTTTGGCAAGTTTTACTCCACCGCCTTTTAGTTATTGCCTGTTTCTTGTCTAAATATTTAAAATTTTTGTCAGCTTTTGCGGACCGTTTCATTGAAACCACCTGTGGATGTAAGTGATGATCTGATTATAAATCAGCAAACAGCATCATAAATCATCTGATATAGGGAGCAGGTGGAACCTTTGATTTTTATGACGTGATTTGTCAAGTGCACCTGTGCACTGAAATGTTTTCTTTTCTCTCCGTCAGGGACATATACTATAATGATCCACAGCTGTTTGGGTCACAGAAGAACTTGGATTCCGTCCTGGATGACATTTCATGCATGCTCAAGGTTCCTCGCAGGAGTTTGCATGTGGTACGTGCATGTGTGTGAGATTTGAATTTCTGAGTCTTATACACTGCTTTTTTTCATGAGCACTAAAGATAATGTGTTCACAGTAAATCATTTATTTTAATAATCCTCACAGTTTGCAACATCCAAAGGCTTAATCTCAGGTGATCTGTGCTATTTGGAGGAAGATGGCACAAAGGTGGACTGCAGTTCCAGCTCCACTGTGAGTCCAGATCGCCAGCCAACTTTTCTGTAAAACTCACTTAATGCTCACTGTATGCCAGTGCATGATTTGTATAATCCCCTTCTGCCCACGAGCATTCATCTATAATTCTACTAGCAACATTTTTAGACTGTATCTGTCAAACATTCACAACAGCTTGCTGTTCCACTTTACCACTGGTTTGACACACCATTCTGAATCTACTCAGTCATTTGATCTCTTTGAAGTTATGACTTTGTTTTTCCATGCAAGACTATTTTTGCTGTGAAATATGAAATGTTTTTATAATTCTGTTCTTGTTTCTCCCTATAGGCGGTTCCGGTGTCTTCCAATGTTAATGGGATCAGAAGTATCCTTCCTGTTTACTTTAACCATGTCATTAAATGAATGCCACCCTACGCCCTTGTGGTGATCTATCTTTCTGTTTGTCTCTGAATCCCTGTGTGGACTAGTGTTTGGGCCAGTTGTTTTAGTATTATTTAAATGCTGTTATAGTATTTATTAATATTTTAAATTATATTTTATTTTTAAATTTTCATGTTTCTTTGTAATTTTAGTAACTTTATGTGCTTTTGTCATATAAGTTTAATTTGTACTTTAGGTTTTCATGTAATATTTTATTTTATTTCAGCTTTTTTTCTAATTACAAAAAATAATTTTTAACAGTATTAGTTAACCGTAACAACACTGGTTTGGACTGTAATTGTGTTACAGAGGGACCAGCACCCGAGACAGAACTTTGGAAATATTTTCTGACCATTGCCAAGTGCCTTACACTTGTTCTGTGCGTTACTGTGTGGATTTCTGGCACAATGGAGGCTTGTATCACAGACTTTTTGAAATGATTCACATTAAAGTTATGTCACTGCTGCTCAAAATGAATGGGAGCTTTTAAAGGGATAGTTCACTGAAAAATGAAAAGTCATTCACTCACCCTCATGATGTTGCAAACCTGTATGACTTTTTTTTCTTCTATGGAACATGAAAGAAGAGCTTTTAAAGAACATTGGAAACCACACCAGATTGTAAACTTTAATGTATACAAATATTACCATTTTAAAGACTGTATGATCATTATGCTCTCTGCTGTATTATCCGTTACATTCCTCAGCGATGTGAAGACATTGTATCAGCTGCGAAATTCATTCTGATAGTGGAGAAGGATGCAACTTTCCAGAGACTACTGAGTGATGACTTTTGCACCAGACTTTCTCCCTGCATCATCATAACTGTAAGCATCTTTATTAGATCAGTGCTACTGTGTGTTTTCAAGGCCTGAATGTTTGTTCTTGTGTGTCCATCAGGGTAAAGGGGTGCCTGATGTCAACAGCAGACTGATGGTGAGGAAACTCTGGGACACGCTACACGTCCCTGTGTTTGCTCTGGTGGATGCAGATCCTTACGGTACAAACACACGCGCACCGGGTCTGAGATGATTGTTAAAGGAATAGTTCACCCCAAAATGAAAATTTGCTGAAAATGTACTCGACTTCAGGTCATCCTAGATGTAGATGAGTTTGTTTCTTTATCGGAACAGATTTGGAGAAATGTAGCATTACATCACTTGCTCACCAGTGGATCCTCTGCAGTGAATGGGTGCCGTCAGAATGAGAGTCCAAACAGCTGATAAAAACATTACAAGAATACACAAGTAATCCACACCACTCCAGTCCATTAGTTATTGGCCTGTGAAGTGAAAAACTGCATGTGTGTAATAAATCAATTATTATATAAGATGTTTTTAACTTCAAACCGTTGATTCGTGCAAAAATACGAGTCGTCTATCCATAATATTGCTTTCTCCAGTGAAAAAGTTGTCTGAATCAGGAGAAAAAATATGCACAGATCAAGCACTGTTCCAACAGTTCTAATCAAATGTGTTAGATTTTGATATTAGAGGACAACTAGGGTTGGGTACCGAAACCCGGTACCAATATGGCACCGGTACCTATGTAACCGGTATGTACTAGAACCGAATCAGAACGCAGATTTCGGTTGAACTCAAGTCGGAAAGCTCTAATAATACAAATCCAACACATCTTGTGATGAGGATTGAGAAATGAGGATTGAGGAAATTAGAGTATCCGAGGAGCACGTGAATGCAGTAATTACGCTTGCTCTGATGGCAGCAGGTAGCCTTCCGTTAACTAAGCTAAACATGCTTAAATACTTTATACTTTAAAAATACATCGATTAGCAATGGATTATAAATATACTTAATTATGAAAATACCAGAGATGGCTTGAATAACACAGATAAACTATATTGTCGCAGTCGAGTGTTTATTGTCTTTGTTTTATCATTCAAAATGTTTATGAGTCCGAAAGTGCACATGAAGTGTTCCATTTGGGACAGGGCCGATGTCTTTGTCCATATAAGGGATTTCCTGGAGGGTCATGAGTTCGGCTACTTCTGTGACTGGATATGTGGATTTTCTGTACGAGGGTGCCCTCTGGCGTCCAGTATGAATGAAACGACATCATGTGTTTATAATGCTAATGGCCAATCCATCATTTTTGGGGGAATTTTTATTTATTTTTTAACAAGTATCGGTTCAGGCACCGTTTATGCACCGGAACCGTTTTAAAAGTATTGATTTGGCACCGGTATCCGCAGTCGAGTGTTTATTGTCTTTGTTTTATCATTCAAAATGTTTATATGTTCTGTTTACTCAGTTACAGCTATAATAGAGATGGCCCTGTCCCAAATGGCACACTAAACCATCACAGTCTTCCTCTGAGTCCGCACTTTCGTGACGTAATGCCGCTTTGACTGTCGGGTAGAAGTCTGCTGCGGAGCTCTCGAAGAAAAAAAAAAAAACGATACCCAACCCTAAGGACAACAGGGGATAGACTTTTTCACTGGAGCAAGCTAATATTTTAACCAGTTTGAAATAAAAAACATCTTAATGATGGATTTGTTTTTTTACGATCATGCACTTTTTGACTTCACAAGCCGTTAATTGATGGACTGGAGTGGTGTGGATTTCTTGTGGATTATTGTGGTGTTATCAGCTGTTTTGACTCTCATTCTGACGTCACCGATTTACTGCAGAGGATCCACTGGTGAGCAAGTGATTTAATACTACATTTCTCTAAATCTGTTCTGATGAAGAAACAAACTCATGTACAGCTGGTATGGCCTGAGGGTGAGCACATTTTGAGCAAATTTTCATTTTTGAGTGAACTATTCCTTTAATCGTGCTTACTAGGTCAAGCAAACTACCTCTCAAGGTCTCAATGAAAAGTCTTGAATTATTCAGTGTTAAGGTCACTTCACAAACATCATGTTCCCTGCATAATGCCATTTATACTCTGTAAAGTCAATGAACTATGAACACACACATGCACTTAATGCAAAGACAACAAACACAGGCGCACACAGCGCTGATGGTTTCTTTGAGAACAACCAGGCCTGCAGTGATTTTCATTTGTGGCAGGTCCAGTGCAGTTTAGCATGAGGAGCGTTGAGGCCCCTGCTATTTCTGACACTGTCATTATCAATGACTCCAGCACTTTCTGTGCATGTGTAATGCTTTACTTTGTTCTAGGGTGAATTAAGCTGTCCCAAAGGATAATTGCAAGGGTATGGTGGTGATTGCAGAATCAGTCTCTCTCTTTTTTTTTTTTTTCCCAGGCATCGAGATCATGTGCATCTACAAGTACGGCTCACGGGTAAGTCCTGTTTCCTGCTATTTCTGTGCAATTTCCAGTGAGGCTTTTGCATTGCGGCGACGTGTAATTATTCTTCTCTCTTTGTGGCAAGACAAAAAAGAGGAAGCACTCATTCATGAACTTAAAATTTACCCTGTGGAAAAAGTAAAGCGTTTCTACATGTGTGTGACACATCTGCAGAGTATGTGGCAACAGTCTGGCTATTTAACTCACTTTCACGTACAGAATCCTGCACTGTAAAAATTATTTGCTTAATGAATATTTTTGTCATTTTCCTATAAATTTATCAAAGCACCCTAAAACATATTAAAAATACATATATTTTTAATTGTATACTTTTTAAATGTATACTTTTTATATTAAATATAACAATATTAGGTATTATGTAAGATAAATATCAAGATAGGTTTTCAAACAATCTACAATTCAAATGTTTGATGTCAGTAAGATTTTTTCATGTTTTTGGAAAAAGTATCTTATGTTCACAAAGACTGCATTTTATTTTATCATGAATACAGTAAAAAATTGTATTATTGGAAAATATTAATATGTAAAAGAAGTCTTTTCTATGTTAGTGTCACGTGATTCCTTCAGAAATCTTTCTAATATGCTGATTTGCTCAAGAAACATGTCTGATTATTATCAGTGATGAAAAAGGTGTGCAGCTTAATATTTTTGTGAAACCATTTGACTTTTCAGAATTTTTTTTATGAATAGAAAATTTAAAAGATTTAATTAATTTAATCTTGACCGAATAAATGTATTAATTAAAAATCTTACTGACTTTACTACAATTTTAAAACAGTAGTGAAGTTTAGGTTGTTGTTTTTTTTACAGAATTTAGAGAGAGATTTATATTCAAAACAAGAAATAACTAAACTTAACTAAAACTTAATTTTGCATCTCAATTAAATATGTCCTGGTTTAAGGATGTTTAGATATTTTGGTCACACTATATTTTAATGTCAATTCTCGCTATTAACAAACCATTAACTACGACTTTTGCCGAATATGTGCTTTATAAGTACTAATAAACAGCCAATATGTTATTAATATGCATGCTAATAAGCAACTAGTTAATAGTGAGAATTGGTCACTATACTAAAGTGTTACCAATATTTTTAATGAAAGCGATTTTGTGTTCATGATGATGTGTTCAGCACATGAAAACATAAATGTGGTGATTAACATTTCATATGTTCTGTCACACATCATATACAGTCAAACCAAAAAATTTTCAGACACCAGATATAATTTGTACATACTGTACCTTTCTATCAAAGTTATCTGACATTATCAAGATGAATTGCGTTCTGACACAGTTTAACTCTGAGTTCTTGTCATATTTTATTACCATTTTCTATACTATAGCAAATAAACTGCGATGTAATGTGAGAAATGTTGCAGGTATCTGAATAAATTTTGGTTTGACTGTAATTTGCTTTACTTAGTTTTGAATTTTTCAATACTCAACTGCTTTAGTAAATCATGTAAGCTCATTTAATGTCCGAAATGAAGTCTGTCCAGCTTTACGAGCTCTAACTGTCACTTGTCCTCAGGCAATGGCCTTCGAGGCCCACAGTCTGACTGTCCCCAGTGTGCTGTGGTTGGGCCTCCTGCCTTCAGACATCCAGAGGTTTGGGAAAGTCAACTCATTACTCTGCTCTGTGGTTCGTGATTGAGGCTGGGCTTGCTCTGGTTTCCGTTTTCTGGGTTTTTTTGTTTTGGTTTTTGTTGCTGTTGCTGTTTGTTATTTCCTTCCTCTTGAAGGCTATTTTTAAGTGGATGTGTCAACTGTGATGGACCTCAGAAATCAGAAGCTCTTTTAAGAAATACACAGTAGAATGAAGTCTTAGTTGCAGTTGTTGGCACCACGTACATGATATGTTTAACACTGGCCACTTTACATGGTACACTCCCTAGTTTCACTTTCATCACTTTTGTGCTTTTAAAAGAACAGGCGTGGGTAATTAATGCCACACTACCAAAAAATAATGCAATTTTCCATCTGCCAATCCGGATTCAGCAGACTACCTCAATCTGGCGTAGTTTACTGGGTCTGTACAACATCTATCTGTACTTAAGTCAACTCTTTCAAATTCTGTCCACTTAATTTGATATATGCCTACTTCATTTGATGATTTTAATTGGATTAAGGTCATCATTTGATGAAGAACTGCTGCCGTGATCCATAGAAAATACACATTTACAAGTAAAATTCTGTTTTCCGCCAGCACAACATAAATTTTGGCAAACAGTACTTGATGAATCTATATGATAAACCTCGTTTTCATTGGAAAGTGCAGTAAAAAGAATGCCTTAGAGTCTGGATTGTGATCGGATTGCAGTTTTTGTACTAAACTGCATGTACAAATGGCCAGCTGTTTAGTGAATTCAGCATGCATTCAAAAAAGCACTGGAAACATCCTCAGGTATTTTGGTTCTGATTCCGACAGCATCAGCACATTCATACTGCCAGCTTCCTGCTCCACCTCATCCCAGAGACACAACTGGACTGAGATCCTGCACGTGTGCATGCGATTGCAATACACTGATGTCATGTTTGTGAAAACAGCTTGAGAAAAAGCATCATTTGTAGAACAAATCTACATGAAATTAAAAACAGTTGTTTTGGCCAAATACTGATTCTACTGCACAAATGTATTGGATTTAATGGACTACGCAGTAGTTTTAATCTGCTACAGCACAGTATGATAAATGAACAGAACTGACTCTGGCCTGGTCTTAGCACAATGTTATTGTAAAGCGAGCACATTCTAATATTTGTGCCTTCTAAAATGAGAAAATGTCAGCACATCAGTAGTTTCTCAGATGTGGGAATCAGCACATGGTGGATCCAAGTTCACACGCCTTCCCAATTTTGATGTTTTGTTCAACATCTGCGACACTTTAGGATCATGTCTGAATGCCTAAAGGAATGATGACCACAAAAACTAATTTTGATTTGTCCCTTTCTTTATAAGAAGAATAGTGAAGCGTATCATTTTATAAAACACGCATTATACAGTTAAAACGTGCTTTTTTTGAGGTGTTAAGTTGTTAATAATGTGTAATGATGTCAAGACTTCAAAGTACATTTTAAATAATTATGTTTTAATAATATTTGGTTGTGCTTTAAATAAGTGCACTTGTTTTGATGCGTTACTAAATCACGTGTGAAGTACTTGATTCTAGTTTCAACTGTAGTGTCATTACATATTACATTTAAAGTCAATATATTCGAAATTGCACCTTAATCATTACAAATGTACAGTGTAATTATATCTAAATACATACAAGTAAGTTTCAACAGAAGTGACATTAAAGTATATTTTACTTTACCCATAAATGCTTGTCAGTACATTCAGCAGTACACTTATATTTCAAAGTCAATAGAAGTAATTATGAAGGAGTGAGTGAATTATGAGAGTCCTACATGGGTCAAAAGCATTCTAACTGCATTTAATTTAAATTTAAACTATAATACATTTTCATTTAATTGCAGTACATTCAGTTCTGACATAAAGGGATCGTTAATCCAAAAATGAAAATTCTGTCATAATTTACTCTCAAGTTGTTCGAAACAGTTGTCCAGACTGTTTCTGGTGCAAGGGAAGACCAAAGTATTTTATAGTATCAACTTACTTAACACTTACCTTGTATTAAACCTATAAAACATTAGTTTCAGCCACATGCTTTTCTATTTGGCTCTGTCTGCCTTTATTAACTCTAGTACTATGTAAAGTGGGCAGTGAGTATATGTAGTCTAAGTGTAAATTGCTTAGATCGTGTATAATAGATTGTTATGAATGCGTAAGTTCTCATGGTGTCTGGTTATGTATATGGCTGTCACAGGTACAGAGTCCCAGAGGAAACGCTTATTCCATTTTCTCAAGCAGATGAGAGCAAACTCAACAGCTTGAGGAGCAGAGACTACATCAGCTGCCAGCCTGCCTGGGAGAGAGAGGTGCCTGGTGCCATGCTTGTCATTTTAACAGAAGATAAGCCCAAAGATGTTTTCTCTGAGAATGTGACCGTAGTGTGTTGGCAGGTCCCAAGAATGTGTGTGTGTTGTAATCTGTGTGTCTGTGTGACTTCTCAGATAGAAACAATGCAGAGACTGAAGCAGAAAGCTGAGATACAGTCCCTGGCATCCATCGCCCCGCATTTCCTCACTCGAGTCTACCTGCCAAATAAACTGCGCTATGGAGGCTGGATCTGAGCATCTGCTGCCTTCTGCTGGATTATATATGCGTGTTCTGCATGAACCGCATGGTTAAATATTCCAGTGTGTTCTTACTGAATGTTAGATGAGCTGTTATGTTAGAGTTATGAGCTCAAATATGCCATAAATCATTTGCGCCGTTGAAACTGCTCTGGAATGTCACACATTTGCTTTGGCTGTGAATATAATGCAATGGAATAACCTAAATAAATGAACTCTTCCCTTTTTTTGCTAACTTCCTCATGAAACGGACTAATTAATTTGTTTAAGTATTGAACTATGCAATGGCTGGTGTATGACATTTGTGCAAGACGGTATTTACTGGATGCATTGTCTTCACACTTTTTTTGTGGTTTATTCATTTTTATTGATATTTATTTTCATACGATTTTGTTTTGCAGGTAAATAAATGAGTCTGTATGGTGCTTCAGGTGTGTTTAACAGTCCTGTGGATCATAATCTCGTGAAGGTAGCCTAATGACTCTTGTTTAGCGCCAGGGGGCGGTGTTTACTCAGTTTTGTTCAATTCAGAAAACATTTACGACACCTTTGAGTCTTTGACCCTTCTTAGGTTTTGAGGTTTAAGCAAATACCAATGACAGTCCTCAGGATATCATAGTCATATTTTTCGATATAAAGCTTCCGCGTTCAGGAAAGAGGTGGATTGCAAAACTTTTTTTCAAAAACTTTGAAAGACTTTTTTACCAGCTATTTACTAATTACAGAATTTTTTCATGAATGCTTTATACTCTTTCTATTATTGATGCATGTTATTTGATTAATTTTAGGGCGTTGAGGTCATTATCTGTCTGGCCTCAGTCCGGCTGCATCGCCTGGGAGCTTCCTCATCGTGGTCCTGAGCCAATGATCTGATGAATAAAGAAACTGACACTGACACAAACAAGCTACAAAATCAAGCCTGCGACACTTAAAGGAAGTCTTCAAAAGTTTTTTTTTTTTTTCAGCAAGGTGCCTAACCTTCCGAAAACCATTTGTCCACCAAAACAATTCAAGCTATTATATAAACGACCATTTACGACACCTTTGAGTCTTTGACCCTTCTTAGGTTTTGAGGTTTAAGCAAATACCAATGACAGTCCTCAGGATATCATAGTCATATTTTTCGATATAAAGCTTCCGCGTTCAGGAAAGAGGTGGATTGCAAAACTTTTTTTCAAAAACTTTGAAAGACTTTTTTACCAGCTATTTACTAATTACAGAATTTTTTCATGAATGCTTTATACTCTTTCTATTATTGATGCATGTTATTTGATTAATTTTAGGGCGTTGAGGTCATTATCTGTCTGGCCTCAGTCCGGCTGCATCGCCTGGGAGCTTCCTCATCGTGGTCCTGAGCCAATGATCTGATGAATAAAGAAACTGACACTGACACAAACAAGCTACAAAATCAAGCCTGCGACACTTAAAGGAAGTCTTCAAAAGTTTTTTTTTTTTTCAGCAAGGTGCCTAACCTTCCGAAAACCATTTGTCCACCAAAACAATTCAAGCTATTATATAAACGACGACTCTGATTTAAGTGGGGGGTTTTTTTCTTTCTTGCATTAATATGAGAGCAGTGTTGGGTAAGTTACTCTAAAAAAGTAATGAATCACAGTTACTAATTACATCTTCAACAGTGTAAGTAGATTACTGTACAAACTACTCTCTCCAAAACGTATTTAAAGGGGTCATATGATGCGATTTCAAGTTTTCCTTTCTCTTTGGAGTGTTACAAGCTGATTGTGCATAGATAAGATGGCATAGAGGACCTACAATAATGTACAGTATTTGAAAAATAATGTGTTTTTTGAACATTAAAGCATGTCAACATATTCTGTTACACCAAATACACAAAATAATGATCTTTAAAAAAGCATCATATGACCCCTTTAATTACTAATTACTTTCTAAATCCTATATAAACCTCGACAAGTTAATGACACAAGGATAGACATGAAATGGTTCTTTTAATTCTTTCAAGTAACTACATAAATTATTCAGGTCACACTTTAGATTAGGGTCCCATTCTCACTATAAACTAACTATTAAATATGACTTTTGCCTCAAAATACTACTGCTTATTAATACTTAGTTAAGTTTAAGAATTGGGTAGGATTAAGAATAAGGTCTTGCAGAATAAGACATCAATATGTGTTTTGTAAGTAATAATAAACAGCCAATATCCCAGTAATATTCATGCTAATAACCAGTGTGAAGGGTACATAAAAAGCATGCATTTTAAGGTTAGACTTAAATTTTTGATGTTAAATCCACTATTGTATTGTGTATAAATGCTCTACAGTCTATACACAGTATTAAGTTCAATTACATATGACGTAACTGTATTTAAATTACAGGAAAAAAATAAGAGTAATCCCTTACTTTACTTTTTCAAGGGAAAAGTAATTAAATTACAGTAACTAATTACTTAGTAATTAGTTACACCAACACTGTATGTGAGTCCATATAATAACGCCTAATTTCCAGTGGAAAATCCCGTCGTCCTTCTCGCATCAAAATTATTCGTGTTTTAGCTGAAAGCAACATTTTGCAGGTAAAAAATGTCTTTTAAAAAACACAGCTTTTCGCTTCACAAGATGTTAATTGCTGGACTGGAATGGTGTGGATTATTGTGATGTTTTTATCAGCTGTTTGGACTCTCATTCTGACGGCACCCATTCACTGCAGAGGATCCACTGGTGAGCAACTGATGTGATGCTACATTTCTCCAAATCTGATGAAGAAACAAACTCATCTCTTGGACGGCCTGAGGGTGAGTAAATGTTCAGCAAATTTTCATTTTCAAAAAATGGGTGACGGGGTTGCAAATTTTACCTAAATTAAGATGATTAATGTACAAAAAAAAGATAAATTCAGCTATAAAAACAATAATTTTGATAACATGGTGGAATGACTGAGTTTGACGAATGCTGTACATTTTATCAGGGTTGAAGCAAAATCTCCTGTGATAAAACAGCCAAGGTGTTGGACCTAAACAGTACAGGTTTCACAGGTAATGAATGATATCTATCTATAATCTTCTAAGTATTATGTAAATCTAATTACAAATTCTAATTCTACATGCCAGAAGACTAGTTACAGTTCAGCCATGCCTCACATGATCATTGTCCAGTACTAAACAAGTCAACCAGTGGAAAAATAAAATAAGATGATCTTTTGAGATGGGGGTTAAAGTCATTGGATAGAGACATTTGTCTGCAGACAAAGGGTCTTTCAGTCCCTTTCAGGTTTGAGAGGTGTGAACAGCTGCAGGTCGCAGTCTTTGAGGCTGGAGAGGGTGTGAGGTCTCTATCAGTGCTCAACACCAAAGCCTTAATACTTAGCGTGCCAATAAAGTCGCTCCTACGTCTCGCCCTTCTCATGTTCTCAACCAAGTTGCCAGCAGTCTTACTGTGTACTGGACGTACAACAACTTCACTTGTTGTGCTGTCCGTCTTCAAGAGCACTGAGGTCAAACTCGACTGTAAGACACTTGCTGAGGCAGAAGCGAGGAGCTGAATGCAGCACAATGCTGTGGAGCCTGTCTGCGCCTCGCTCTGACTTGCACCATTGTTGCTGTGGCGTATTAGACTGATAGATGTGTTGGACACTGGCATTCGCCATTGTGGGTGAAGTTTATTCTGATGTATAGAGGGGAAGAGATGTAAACGCACAGCAAAAGCTATGTTAAAGAGATAGTTCACCCAAAAATGAAAATTCTGTCATCATTTTACTCACATTCTCTACAAACCTGCAGGATTTTTCTTTTTTTTCTTTCTTTCATTTAGAGGGTCTTTTGACTGTTTTTTTGTCCTCAAAATGGGGTCCGAAAGAACATTTCTCATAAGACTTTTTTTTTTAAATATCTTCTTTTGTGCTTCACAGTAAGGTGGAGCACAAACATACAGGTTTGGAATGACATGGAGGTGAACAAATTACGACAAATATTTTTATTTTTGAGTGAATTATCCCTTTAAGATTTAAAAGTAAAATGTGTTTATATTAAATCAGTGAATTTCAGCTGGTTTTAATCCAAGACCCAGATGCTACATTTTAAATAAATTTATGGAAAAAAAATATATTTTGCAGTGATGTTGTTGTTAAATGTCATAATTCCAATAACTGAATGTGCTTCATAGTTTTAATTTTTTTTATAACCAATGGATGTACATGACTTTTTTTAGTTTGTGATTACATTTTTTACTTACACATACACATTTTTTTATACTTACAAATAGAAAAAATGACATGTTTATACGTGTTTAATGTTTAATTTCATTTAACTTAATTTCATTTAATATTAACATGAAATTAAATAAAGGCATGAAAAGAAAATGTATTAATTTTCATGACTTTTCCAGGTTTATAAAAACATCACTTTTAGGTTTTTAAAATGGCAATGAACTAAAATTAAAACACTTACAAATATTTGTTGTTAAACGAAATCAAGCTGAAATACAATAAAAATATAAATATTCGATTTAAAAAAGAACTTACAAAATTAGAAATGTGGCCAACTAACTGAAATAAAATATGTTTAAGTACTTAAATTATTAAACTGAAATAAAAAGAAATATAAAAAAAAATGAAAATGTCAAAAGCACATAACAAAATTGCTAAAACTGAAACTTAAAATATTAACATAAAATATAATTCAATATATTAATAAGTACCATAATAGTGCATAAATAATACAAAAAATAACACTGTTTTGCCAAAAAGCAACTGCATATATAATCCCAACAAGATTATTTCATTATATGTATTTAGCATTGTATTTTCTCTCTGTCAGAACAGACACGAAACCAGCTCACAACCCAGCAGCTGAGAAAACAGATCTTCCTGATATCACAAGAGTGTTTGCATAAATACAGATACTGAATGCAACAATGTGACTGGTTAAAACGATCAACTGAAAAATGATGCTTCTGGTCTCTCATTTCTTTCCTTTCCGCAACTATCTTTAAACTTTTGTTCCTTTTTCTTTGATCGCCCTCCCCTTCAGACTTGCAGGCTGCAGGCGTGAGAAACGTTTCCCTCACTAGCCTTCAGGCCAGAGCTGTAGTTCCTGTGGTTCCTGTGAGCAGAGCGTCGAGGGTGTTAATGTTCCCACATAAGGCTGCTCTGTAGATTTAAATGACAGTATGTGAGTGACTGACAGACTGGTGTTGAGTTCTTTGATGCTGAACCCTTGATCAAGCATATGAAACTGTCACCTAGCAGAAGAAACAATGCATATGTCCCTGGCACAATCTGGGTCTATATATATACATTTATGTACCTTCCAAAATCTACATTCATAAATCAACTGTAACAATTGTGTGTTGTTTTCTCTGAGGATGTGGCAGGTTTTCATCTGCTGCGCCTCCTGCGTTCACTTGCCGCTGGCAGGTCACTGGCGGGTCACTTCCTGCGTTCACTTGTGGCTGGAAGGTCACCTGCTGGCACAGACGGCTCCCGCGTGACCTCTGGCAAATCCCCTCCTGAGCCGAGCCCAGCTGCTGCCACCAGCCAGGCCAAGACTGTGAGTCAAATCTGCTCCAGTACTGAGATTAGTGACACACCTATCATAGCCTGATTAACAGGCCAGCCTTTGGCCATTTTCAGATTATCTGCATCGACCGATAACTGTGCCCAAATACCTGATATCCTGGGCAGTAGTTCCCCCTTGTGACAGTTTCAAAACATACACACTCGAAAAAAATATTTAGGCCTAAAAAAATGAAAATGCATTTAAAATTTCCATCCATTTGCATTACACAGTTTTAGCATGAACTGATTAACTTTATGTGATGTATATTTGTCAGTCATTCATAAATGTAGCAGGTAATATTTCTGTAATATTACTAATAAACAAAATGTATTTTAGATACATGTGCAATTTATGTTAATATATGTGCAATATAATATATATAATGTAATAAATTAATATATATTATGTCCTCATTTGTAAGTCGCTTTGGATAAAAGTGTCTGTTAAATGACGAAATGTAAATATATGTGCAATATAATATATATAATGTAATAAATTAATATATATTATGTCCTCATTTGTAAGTCGCTTTGGATAAAAGTGTGTTAAATGACAAAATGTAAATGCAATGTAATATATATATATAGAAATGTAAATAATATTATAATGCAATAATATTATTGTAATAACCAGATTTATATATTTATCATCAATAAATATATAATTTATTTACAACTTACTTTTTAATTAAATAATAGCTATAGACATATTTTATCAGTTTAAATGTAATTTTCACCATCAACAGATTTACGCTGGTTCAAGCCATTTGAATAAATGTATTTTAAAAATATGATTATTTAAATTAAATCAAATAGATGCAAATAGTTAATAATAAACAATGCCATGATTTTTTTTTTAAGTGCAGAAATTTTACCCTTTTTATTTGTGACTGACAAATATGCATTTAGTTTATCCGTTTATGTTAAAACTGTTTAAAATGGATGGAAATTTTATAATTAATTCAAATGACATAAATCTTAAATTTAAGCCTAAATATTTTTTGAGCACAGACAAGCTTTTCCGCGAATAATTGCATATTTGCTTTCAAATACACGATACATGATTTATTTATTTATTTTTGGTAAATATTTAGTAAATATTTGTTAAATGTTCATTTAATTTCCGAGCTTTTATACGCAAAACACAGACAATCAATGCTTCTACAAAAGTACAAATGCTAAAATCAGCAAAATAGTGCTTGAGTGAAAATATAATTGCAATCTAAATCTGAGAAATGATTCATTCCAGTATTAATTTATATTCATTTCACAATTCAAGAAACAGACTTTGAATTCCAGATTTTCAAAGTGATACTGACATCAGCTATTTAAATACACATAATTTGACACCTATAACAATACACTGACTTACAGCCCTTACGCAAAAATTAACAATGGTTATACACTACAAATAAAACCCAAATACCTGGTTACTATTGTTAAATCATGGTAACCACAAATTAACCGTGGTTTAACCATGGCATTTGTAGTAAAAATGTGGTTATACAAATGGTAATCAGTATACCAAAAAAAACATAGTCACTACACTTTAAAGGGGTCATATGATGTTGCTAAAAAGAACATTATTTGGTGTATTTGGTGTAATGAAATGTGTTTATGCGGTTTAAAGTTAAAAAACGCAAGGGAGTGGCTAATATAGACTATGGGTCATTTTTCAATGGATGAATCTGTTGGTAGCTGCAAAAAGAAAAGAAATACTACTGCGCTATAGGTTGTAAAAAAAAATTCAAGTATTAAACCAAGTATTCACATCAAGCGTATAGAATACAGTAGTCTGCCATCAAAAGCACACGGAAGACTCAGCCAGAGTTTCTTCAGAGTCCCAGAACAAAGACAGGTGCAGTTTGGAAACAAGGTGAGGAGGCAGAGACAGAGGCAGGGTCTGTGAGCGTCACAGATAGGAGGGGTGTATTAGACGAGCATCGCATTGGATGTGGAGGCAGGGAGGTGTGAGCTGCTCGGAGTGCTGCTGTAGCCGAGAGAGAGAGCTTCACCTGCCGCCAGGGTTTCTCCGATCATGGACTAGTTTGGCACATGACGGAGAGCAACGGGAACCACAAGCCAAAGGACTATCTACCTCGCTGCCTTCGCAACCATTGGAGAGTAGCTTAAGAGTCGGTCGTTATTTATGTTTATTTATATTTATTTATAACGCGCGCGTTTCGTATCTAACGTTACATTGCACTGAATTTGGCGCCCCGATGCTTTTACATCAGTTCGTGAATGGGACGTTGGAAGCGATGTATCCCAGTATTCAGAAAGACACGACTTTCACCAAGATCTTCGTGGGCGGTTTGCCGTATCACACCACGGACGCGTCGCTGCGAACATACTTCCAGACTTTCGGCGACATCGATGAAGCCGTGGTGATAACGGACCGGCAGACGGGGAAATCCAGAGGATACGGCTTTGTGAGTAAAAAACAACAACCGTACATTAATTGTTGTTTTCATATAAATCTCAATAGCTTTTAAAATTATCGCGAAGAACAATAACGTTACTTTGTTTTTGTTGGTTTTACTCTCGCTACTCAGTTCTTTGCGCAATCTTTAAGTAGTAAATCGGACGTGTTTGTCACTAGCACAGAAGTTTGAAAACACAAGTGATCGTACAAAGAATAACAAACGCGATAGCTGCTGTGGACATGAGCGCGCTGTTCGATTCGTCAGTGAATTGTTCTTGAGAGTCGGATCGTTTGAACGATCGGTTTGATCCGGTTAACAAAACCGTACTGAACTATTTGTTCTCCGGTCAACTGACTCACTGAACCGAGCAGCGGACTCCGACCCGTAATGAGCTAAAGAACTGTAAATGAGCTGAGCTCATATTTTATTGACTAATTATGACGAAAAGTTACTTGAATAGCAGATATGTTACAAATATGTTTGTTCTCGACTTTTGTATGATAGCTTTTTATTAGCACGCATACAAAATAGAGCTGGTTTTAATATAATAACAAGGGACCATATTGATATAAAAAAAATATCTTTTTTGAACCGGTTCTTTGAAGCGAACTGTTCAAAAGAATCGATTCGCAGAAGTGTGTCGAACTTCACTTGAATGAATCGCTCGTGCGCGTGCGGTCTCCAGGTGACAATGGAATCGTCGCATGTCTTTGTTACAATTGTGAAGAACAAAAGCCAGTAGATGATGTACAGTAGAAACTCCTTTAATTTGCCTTAAAGCATATGCTAGTCACAAATTATGATCTGTATGCTTACTATGAGCCTTTTTAATAGGCCTAAATGTTTTTCCACATAGTCCGATTTAGTGCTGAAGGATCTTAAATGTAATCCTTAGATATTGCGAGCTTTTCAGAAGCACAGTATGCTCTTACATCGCATTGCTCCACAAGTGTGTGTGTGTGTGTGTGTGATGTCACATGTGGGACCATAAGTGGATTATTTCTAAAAAAGCATGTCATCAATTATCATCTTAGCCTCTTGGATGAAGTTTGAAAGCAGGATCTCAGATTTCTACGAAGTGGCCCCTTTTAAATACTTCTTTTAAGCATTGTGAGTGGAAAGCGTGGTCTGGTCCAAGGGTTTATCTGCTGTGATATGCTGCAAGGCCAACCTCTGCTCACTTAATAAGGTGGTTATGAGGGGCCCAGAGGAACGGCCCTAATGAGTGTTCAGCCAAACACATCTGACTGCGTTTATAATATCAAATGAGTGGCTTTCCCTGTATTTTCATTATTTTGCTTTCACTTGACCTCTTTGCATAGGCTATGCAAGGGATCGTGTGATAACATGGTAAAGTGATGTTATCAAATGGTAATATCATGGTACTTTCAGAGGGGTACTTTCAGTTTTTTAATGGTTAAATTAAAATGTATTAATCAAAAAGCATGTCTACTTAATTAAAATCATGAAACTTAAACAATTTAACATCAATTTATTAAAAGTTTAACAAAAATTACATGTTTAGGGCCCAAACATTTGTAATTTTTTCCAACCTTATGTTTTATTGTTACCAAATTCTGTTTTAGCATGTCTAATTATTTGAAAGCATAAAAACAAGTTTCATTTATTCTTACAATAGCCTTATGGTTTTTTGCTCAGAAATTCTGTGTTGTGTATTTACATTTTTAAGGCATAAAACATTCATTTAATCTATCTTTTAAGTAACGAAAATTAATTAATAAAATTAATAAAGGTAATTTAGATGCTCATGAAGTGACTCTCAGAGAAGTTTTGGAGATGTTGTTCATGTATTTATGTCCTCATTTAGTGAGATGGCAGACGCTAAAATCACTGCAAGCGTCACTCGCGCTTCAGTACGAGTGGTAAACAAAACCGCGCATCTGCGCCATTCATTAACACAGAGACACGCAGAATTCATATTTAATTTAAAAACGACTTTGATATATGTGCGTTAAAAGTACATATCAGATCACACCCTATATTACCGAATAAATACTGTAATTAATTTATTTATTTAAATCAGCTTTAAAGTCTACTGGGATGTTTTTTTTTATTTATATATATATAGAATTATATAATTATATATATAGCTTGTTGCTTCTGTGGAATAAAAAAATAAAAGGTAATTGTGACTTTTTATATCAGAACTCTTGACTCTTTTTCTTGCAATTCTGAGAAGAAAAGTCAGAATTGTGGGATAAAAAGTTACTTTTGATATTTTTACTCCATGGTGGGTAAAAAATTATTGTGAGATAATATAATAACTGAAAGAAAAACAAAAAATTTACATCAAGAATTTACGAGTTTAAACTTTTGCATTCTCTCAAAAATGTAAGAAAAAAAAAGTCTAAATTGTGAGATAAAAGTGGCAAATACCTTTTATTAAATTTTTTCATTATGTGGCAGAAACAGGCTTCATTACATGTTAATGGTTCTAAATTAAAATAATTTTTCTAAAAGTAAAATATATTTAAAATTTTTTCTTTTGGTTTTGGGATGAGTATGATCTGCACTTGTTGACAGGTTTTTTGAGTTTCACTCCTATAGATCTCTTTTTCTCACCTTGCGTCTGTGTTCACTGGTACAGAACTGTATCGTGGTTTGCCTTCAAAAGCAGTTGGAAAGCACAGATAAGACCGCACAGTTTCACAACATGCTCATTAGATAAACCGAAGGAGGCGGTGGGGGGTCTTGGGGGAGAAGGAAATAAAATAAACCATACGAGAGGGTGACAAATTTTGGTGGCTTTGTCGTAAATGATAGTCTTTAATATCCTGGCTGATACACTCCCTGTGTGGGAGGCCTCGTCTTAATAGCTGAATTCTGGAATAAGAAAAAGAGGGAGGGTTACCAGAAGAGTTTCCAGAAGATTACAACACAACCCTAATGTTTTCCCAACACGCTCACTGAGGCTTGTCGCCTCATTTACTAGCTTGGTTTTGTGACTACTGAGATAATAGCATGGACGCAGCTATGTGTGTGTGTGCTTGTTTTGTTCATGTTCAGTCTGAGACGCTCTCCACACAAGGGCACTACAGAAACGAAGCGTACACTCTGGTGTTTACCTGACAGAAACCAGATCCCATGAATTCTCCTCCTAACCGCTCACTCCGCTACTGCTCTGGCTGTCTTTCTCGTTCCACCAGCCCTGGGGAACACAGCTGCCACTGGGTCTCCACAGGGTGGGGCGTTTGTGTGTGTGTGTGTGTGTGTGTAGCCGTGAGCAGCTCAAACCTAATATTGCAGTGCACTGGAAGAGCATTTGTCACAGAGAGCCGAGCTGTGAAAACAAGTCAGCAGTTGAGGCTGCTTAAACGCTTCACAGAAATAACCATAAACCCCTTCTACTTAAGCAAACTGGCATGGTATTAATGCCATGCTTGTATTTGTTAGATTAGTTTTAAGATCAAACCCAACTTAAATGGGTTAAAAAGACTAATTTTTGGCAACATAAACTGTATAAATTGATCAGCTGATAAGAGGAACTGCATTGTGCAAAATACTGGTAAATCATGTCTCAGTTTATTATTACAGTTTTATGAAATCATTGCAAATAGGTTATTCTTTATTCTTACAACTTAAGAATGACGTAATATTTGTCAGTGTATAATATCCATGAGCTGAATTAATTTGAGTGGGTTTATAATTTTGGGGAGAAATGGCAAAGTGAGACATGAAGATTGGAATGAAAAATAAACTATTATTATTATTCCTCAAAATATTGGATGAGAAAAAAAACATTTGTAGTACAAAAATAAAACTACGCCAGAATTACAAAATATACTGTTAAAAAGTGTATAAATCACTCATTTTTCTGAAGAAACTTTGTCCCACAGCGACACCAGCAGGTAAAGTTACAGCAAGACTCGGTACTCTCTTGCCTCCCCTGAGCCCATTAAGTTTTAACAGACCCGCAAAAGCATGTGGTGAGTTTGGTGGGGGGTAATTGAGAATGAATGAGGGAAAGTCACGTGAGAGGAGGCAATGCCTCCATTGCGATATGATTGGATATGACCGGTTCGGGTCTATTTAGAATTTGTTTTTTTCTTCTTTTTCTGATAGTGTAAGTAATGTTTATTTAATGTTTATTTTAATGAATTTACATTTGATTAAAAAAAACAACTTTTTGCCTCTATTTTAAGAACACCACTGCCCAACACTGATATATACAGTATATAGAAATTGAGGTATCCCTAAATCTCACAAACTGTCAAATTTGAATTTATTACATTCAGGTAGAGCAAATCATGCAGAAGAAACTGTATATTGTTTTACTAAACATAACGGACATGATAATCACTCTGTGCTGTTACTGATTTCACATGTGAAAGAGGTGTTTCTTAAAGGCACAGTGGAGTGTACATTTACACGACAGCAATTGTACTAAAAACTGAAAAGTTTTCCTTCTTTTTAAAAAGTTGTGCATACAGACGGCAATGTTGTGAATGATCCCCGTTTACACAAATCCGAGAAAATGACAAAAAATGCTGTATTTTCATGCCAGGCCAGTAGGTGGCGACATACGAAGAAAGACTATGTGTCTGTGCACATACCGATTAGACTGAACACATAATACACTTTGCATGGCGTCACTTTTGACAAATTCAAACTGAAAAGATGACAGTATTGTTTTCAAAAACATGCACTTTGAAACCGTTTTCAAAAGTTTGCATTTTCATGCTCCCAAAACGCCATTGTTGTGTAAATGAACAGCCAAAGTGCATAAAAGGTTTTCAGTTTTCATTTGAAAATAATGTCATGTTAATTCCCCTCTAAGCTTATAATACGGTCATATACATAGAATTGTAAAAAATTATGCAAACAGTTTGACAAAAAAGTGGAAAAAAAACGTATGAAATGGCTCAACAAATAGCAAAATCACACTCATTCATAATGTGTCTGTACTTTAGACTTGTGCAGGTATTCAGTAATGCGATATATCACGGTAATGAATATGCATGGTATTGTTATCGTGGGCACTTCTAAATACCGTGAATAATTATATATTACAAATTATTCAGAATTTTGAATGCATTTTAAGAATACTTTTCCCATAAACTGGTCAAAATGCACAACACCGCTGTATGCTGCGTGAAAGACGCTTGCGCACTCTGAGTAAACAAGCGCGGACAGAAGCACATGGCGGAACATGTGAGAGACGCTCTGGATGAAAGAGCACCGTCACTCTCTGACAGCAGATGGCGCTAAATAAATAACTGCAGAAATAATAATAATAATAATAATAATTCATTTAAATGCAGCCGTTACCCCGGAAACCCTGTAAACAAAGCAGCTGCACTACTTTCTGTTTCTGAATCATGTTTAAATTATTTAAACAGCCATTCAGATTTGTGTATTTGTACTTCATTTCTCTCTTTCTTCTTCAGGTCACTATGATAGATAAAAGTGCAGCTGAGAGAGCTTGTAAAGATCCCAACCCTATTATTGATGGACGCAAAGCTAATGTCAACCTGGCGTACCTCGGGGCCAAACCACGCAGCCCACTGACAGGTAAATACCAGACACAAGCTTTCAACTTACTCAAAATTGGGTACTTATCTTTTAAATCCTATAGTTATCTATTGTTCTGTCACTTTCAAAGGCGAAGTGTGTAATTTAAGCACCACAGAAATGCAAAAATAATGACTGTTTTCAAACAGGTTTTCTCAACATTTCCCCATCTGCCATTGGTCTGTCAAATAAATAAGTCTGTCCCAAACTCAGATAATGTTGCTGTGTCAGGCTGGTGGGGATGTTCAAACGAACACAACAGTGTTTTGAAAGTGAGTCATTCTGTTTATTCAATTCTGTTGTGATTAATAAATTATACACTTCCCCTTTAAGAATTCCAAAGCTGTTTGAAGCTTGAAGCCCTTATATGGTAGAGCAATTGTTGCAGATTTTTCTTGTTGATACTTTCGCTGTGGATGATCCATACTGGCAAAAACCGATGTATGTTTTCATCATATCATGCTCTCTGTATCATAATAATTTTTTGTACTCTCACACACAACTCTCTCTGGCTGCCACACACACAATTTCACACTTATTTTAACGGGTTGTTTGACAGGTTAAGCCTGTCAAGAATTTACTGCCATGCAACATTTGCATCTATGCATGTGTGTGAATGCATTGGCAGAAAGTGATATATGTTCAGTCAGCACGTCTGTCTGCTCGTTCGACCTCCAGCTTTGCATTTCTGTGTGTGTGTTTTGTGGCTGATATGTCAGAAAGAGGAAGGGTATTGTGGAGGGAACCTAAAGCATGTACACCTGTCCTAGCACACCATATTCACTCAGGAAAAGAGGATAGTTTGGCCCCTGCTCTTGTTCTTGTCCAAACATGTTTGAAACGGCAGTCCTGTATCACTTTGTCTCTCTCTCCTCTGCCTTTGTAGCCATCGTCACATGACTCACGCCTCGATTTACTGGGGGTTTTTTAGGCTTACATGTTACTCTGGGAAACACATTGTTCAAGCACATTTTAGTTCAAGAGTGAATGACAAATAAAGATCATTAAAAGAAGAAATCTTATAAAAAAATCCAATGCCAAGTTCTTAAAAAACATTTATATGACATTTATATAGACATTTTTAAACAATATACTTTTTAAACATGTATCAAGCGTAGCGTTAGTTCTGGCAGGTCACGTTAGTCAAGCTCGCATCAGCTGACTCTCAGCTGATCCCCATCTACCTATAGGAATACGACACCTATCTAAGCATTCATATATAAGGTCCCTCAGTATTATCAGCAGTTTTCGCATTGCTCAATAGCTAATTACCCTCCTCCATCCCCAGCTCCTCCTCTGTCAGTCAGGATTCAGCCTTCTGGTTCTCCTTTGAATCAGACTAATTCTAAAATGTGTACATAACATTATTGAACTTTAACGATATCTGCAATGCATATGTTGGTTCTGTTCTGTTTACCCTGGGGGGGTTATCGCTGCTCTCCCTGCTCTCATCCATGCTAGGCTGCATGGATGCGCAGGGAGGTCTTGCCCAGAACAGAACCATACCGCCAATCCAAACTGTATGCTAATTGTCAGTCATCTTTGACGATAGTGGTCCTGACAGAATTCTATTTGGCTGTAAATTATTATCATTTCTATTTTAGTTTTAGTGATTTTAGTAATTAAACTTAAACTTATTTTAAAGGGGTCCTATTATGCTTTTTTTATTTTAGTCAGTGTGTAGTGTGTATGTTTGGGCATAAATTTCCGGGTTTTGTGATGTCACGAAGCGGCCCATTAGAATATCATTAAAATAATTCCCGCCAACAGAAATTCGAATGGTTGAGGGGCGAGGTCGTGGTTGAGTGCATCAGACAAGACGACGACGAAGAAGAAGTGCTGCAACATGAGCACTGCACGTTTCAAAATTGAAACCCGGTGCGGGTGTTTTTATATCACTGTATTTCTGAAGGAAACCGACTGTCTTCAGAAAATTTGGGATGTCATTTTCATTTAATTTTGCATGTAATGTCTGATAAAGCAGCGTTTGTGAGTGGAGCGCTGCTTTGTGTACAGCCGTTACCGGGGAAACCTCGATCTCTATCACCCCAACAGCGCCTCCTGCTGGCAGAGAATGAATTTGAATATATATGCTGCCACAAATAGAGTGTAGGGAAACACTGGATTATGATATAATAAATTCAAATGTATAACAACATTACAATAGTGAAAGACGACTTCCCTTACTGATCACGTCTCTTGCGCGGCGGGATGTTGGACTCATGAAAAATAATCACATCGTTTGTATTCACCAAAACTGATTTACTGAAGTGAAAACACGGACGGAATTGGCGTTAGCACGAGCGCCGCTTGCGGTGAGGCGGGAGCGACGAGCCGGCGGAGGATTCCGCAGCCTTCCTCAAACAGTTATATTCACGATTTCTGATTTACTTAACGTATACTGCGTGAAGGGGGCTGTGATTGGATGATGACAGGTATCGGTGATCATTCTCAAGTAATCAGCACTGCTGCTGTTGTATCAGTCAGTGGTTAGATCAGCGTAGCAGTCAAAAAACGGGACGGTTGGCAACCCTAATAATAGGACCCCTTTAAGTTATTTTGTTTATTTTTTATTTCAAAATGTTTTTAAGCTCAATTTTTTTATATATGTTCTATTTCAATGATAATGAAGATCATAAAATAAAGAAATCTTTTTTTAAGAATCAAGCCACGTGCCATGTTAACAATGTTAAAATCAATGTTGAAAAGTAAAACAATATGTATATATTATTAGTAATATATTATTTCTATTTCTGTTTTAGTTGTAGTCATTTCTAGTATTTTAACTTAAAATTTGTTATTTCAGTTAGTTCTGTTAAATTATTTTTATAATGAATATTTTCAGTTAAATTATTTATTATAAAGACTATTAGTTAAATTATTTTATATATTATTATATTATATATTATATATTTATATTTTATTTCAGCTTACATAAAAAAGAATAAAATAAAATGATTGATAGTTATTAAATAATAGCTAATAGTAGTTAACACTTATGATTATTATACAATGATTTGCAGATAAATATTTTAGCAAATTATAATAATAGTTAAAATACTATATTTATATTTACAAATTATGTCAAGCTATGCTGGTTCCAAAGCCTTTTCCACAATAATTTCAGCCTATTAATACCAGTAATTCCAGGTTATTAATATAATTAATAACTATTAATTAATAACTTTATTATTTATTGAAATATTTGGACCGCCTTTGTTAAAAATGTCAAAATGAAATTTAAGTAATAAATTAAAAACATCCTCAGTAATTTTCTGTATTAACTGCATTTTTTATGTATTTTTGAATAACACTGCTCCACCATACACAGAAATGAATGTTACGTCACTGACCTATGTATAATGAACATAAAACTGAGAGGAGAACGTTTTTTTTGTTTTGTTTTTTATAGACATAGAAAAAGACAAGTTGAATTATGTTCACCATAAGGTTTGTGTAAAGGGTAAAGTGTGTTTATGCAAATACTGCAGTGCTGCAGATAAGGCTGTTGTGCGTGTGCGTGTGCGTGTGTGTGTGTGTGTGTGTTGAATGGGCATTCAGGCGAGGGATGTTTCTGATCTGTGTCCGGACAGATACACTGTTACGCCGCAGAACAGACAGCCTGGAGTTTTTCACATGAGTGACTTCATGAGAGCGTACAGACAGGACGAGAGGAAAGAGAGAAAAAACTAAAGTGCATATTGGGTGAATGATGGAGAGAATGAGTGCCAATTAAAGCTGAAAGAGTGTGCGGTTGTGGAGGACACAGAATTACAAATGTGCATCATGAATGTCAAACACAAGGCCAGCAGTTTGAGGGCAAATGTCCAGAGATGATAGTCAAATAATTATGTAGCGTTTGTCATCTGTTCCATTCAATTTCTGCTGCTTAACAACCATAAACCTTAATTTATTGCCAAGACGTCTTAAAGGAGTGTTCTGGGTTCAAAATGTTAAATGAAGCTCTGTCGACAGCATTGACTCATCCCTTTGTAACAAACAAAAAGCACATGTACAGTACTGGACTTAAAATAGAAGTCTATGTGGCAAACCTTTCTACTGGGTTTAAAAGCAGAAATGTGCAGCTTGTATTTTGTACTTATTAATGGTCAACCACTATGGATTTTTTTATGGCTGATCTTAGGAAGCAGGGTAGCCAGTGGCCGATGGCCGATAACATCAGGCCATATATTTGACATAATATTTAATGAATTAAAATTAAATAATTTGAAAATGTTTTAATATGAAAAAAATTGAACTTGTTCAAAAAAAATTTAATCCTTTTCATATACACAATTTACTTTGTTTTACATTTTTGTCTAATAATTTATTACTTTTAATAAACATATTTAATTTAATAGATTTGTAATAGACGTTCTCGTGGATGTCAAAATAAAAGTCCTGTTTCTGACACTTGACCAAACAGAAAAACCAATCGACCAATGCCAGTAATTAATGCTGATACATTTGCCTTGGTATATTAATATTGTAATAATATTCATTTTTCCATATGAAATTAGTTATTTTAGCTATAAAGCTCAATAAATCATCCTTTTAGTAGTGGAACTGTTTCAGGCAGATGAATTTTCGGTTATGTTGTTTATGACAACCCCTATGTGTTCTGTCCTTGGGTTTTATGTGGTCAGATTTTGAACGGATGGAATAGTTTCATGATAACTCGTATGATAATTAGGTTTTGTGGCTATATTTTCCAAATTGTGTGTATTTTAACATGCCTTGCAATGTCTTGACCCTTAAACTTCCATTATAAGTGCATTACTGTACAAATAATATTTGTTTGTTTTTACAAACTGGAGGATGAAAGGAAATTTAATTTTAAATCTGGGTCATTCCTGTAAAGGAATAGTTAACCCCCCAAAAAATATTACAATTTTATGTACGACAGTTCATAGTGAACTTTCAAAATCCAAAAAGGACAACAACAAAACAATGTATTATAAGTGTATTTAAGACCCGCAGCTTGAGGAAAGCTTGACATATGAATTGTAGTTGTACTAAAAAAACAGATGGCATCCAAATTTTTTCACAATTTCTTCTTTTGGGCTCCACCAAATAAAGTCAGTCATACAGGTCATTTCCTCGCCCTCGCTTCTGGGTGAACTGTGCCTTTAACTCTCAGAAGCAGATTTCAATCTCTTGTTTTGCTCTTGTTGTGACAGGATACTCGACTGGAGTACAGCAGGTTCAACCAGCCCTGATCCAGAGACAGTATGGGTAAGCATCTCTTCTCATTCTGCTAATGTCAGGGGTGAGGGAATAACATGAAATCCTAGCACGACCCCTCAGAAACAGTCCTGTCAAAACGGCAGTTTCATTTAGCCCAAAACTGTCAGTTATTCAGGCTTCTTCCTCTCACACATCCCGTTTCTGCTCGTCTCACTCAGATCTGAGGACACGAGCCGTGAACATTAGTGTAGCTCTTCCTCAGTATTTGTTGTCATGTGTTTACAGTAGCGTCTGCGGTTTATTTTCATCTCTCTGCCTCCTTCCCAAATTCTCTCTCATACTGTCACTCGGTCTCGGTTTCTCTCTTTTTACTCTCTTCCTCTTTCTGTATTTCCCTCTTGGTATCTTTCTGACAGCGTTTCTCTTTCTTTTACTTTCTCGACTCTGTCTCTCTTCCCTATCCTGTTTGACCTGTTTGTCTGTCAGTTAGGTCACCACCTGCCTCAAGTCTGCTAACCAGCCAGGTGTTATGCAAAACAAACCTTCATCTCTCTTTCTTTGTCTCTCTCTACAAACATCTTTCTTGTTCGCTATACCACCCACACAAACTCACCAACATCTGAATCATATATTTTACATATATTTCAACGAAATAGTTCATTAAAAATATATATCATTGTTTACTCGCCCTCATGTTAAACCAAACCCGTTGTTTTTTTCTACACAAGATCTTCAGTCATAAGTGCTACATTTATGATTGTTATGATTTAAGGTTTTTCAAAAAGTTTTTTGGAGCATGACAAATTTCTTCACAAATTTCTATGGAAAATATCATCTTGTATTTATGGTCTAAGATAATAATATACACTAATGTGTGGGCTTGGTAAGATTTTTTTATGTTTTTGAAAGAAGTGACTTATGCTCAACAACGTAAAATAGTTGAAATACAGTCAAATAGTAATATTGTGAAATATTATTAGTAATTTGGGCTAAATTTATGATTGTTATGACTTTCATGGTACTTTTTTTGGTGCTGTTTTGAGCTTGACAACTTTCATTGGATAAAAAGAGGTGCAAAACTGCTAGAATATATAGTTTTTTTATTATTATTAACAATAATCAAGCATAGCGTTAGTTCTGGCAGGTCACGTTAGTCAAGCTCGCATCAGCTGACTCTCAGCTGATCCCCATCAACCTATAGAAATACGACACCTATCTAAGCATTCATATATAAGGTCCCTCAGTATTATCAGCAGTTTTCGCATTGCTCAATAGCTAATTACCCTCCTCCATCCCCAGCTCCTCCTCTGTCAGTCGGGATTCAGCCTTCTGATTATCCTTTGAATCAGACTAATTCTAAAATGTGTAGACTTGTTGAGCAGAAGAGACTTCTTTCAAAAACATCAAAAAAAATCTTACTGACCCCAAATGGACGTCTGGTTTCTTATTATTAGTATAATAACTGTTTGGTCATTGTGTTAAAAAAAATATATAAACACAAACTGTGTCTAAGTTCTGCAAATTGGACATTAAACATACCGTCAGTATTTAATGTATTGATTATAAAATTAAATACAAATACAGTTCATTCACTAGCTGAATTTTACAGATTTGAATTTGGTTTAATAATGAGGTTGTAACTCTTGTAAATAACCGACATTTAGGGTTTAGAAGAAGAGTGAGTGCTCTATTTTCTATTCATAGCTTGTATGTTAAAGGGTCTTGTCCATATCTGTGGGGGTCTCTATTTAAACTCACTAGCTTTTGTTTGAACAGGTGTCCTGTGCCCATTGTGGGTCTGTATGCATTGTCAGTTAATAGTGCTACTGATCATTAACCCTAACCATTAACTTCCTCTTTGAGACGGCCAATGCTAATAATGAGAAACGCATTAGAGGTGAACTTAACTCCACTACAGTAATGGCCAACAGACTGCAAACAAACAGACCTACAACAGTATGTTGGCTAAAGGCTATTCGAACATGCTAACAGTTAGCATAAGGCCTGATTAAAGAGATACTACACCCAAAAATGTCAATTCTGTCATCATTTAATCACCCTCGTGTCGGTCCAAAACTGTAACTTTCTATATTGTGGAAAAGAAGAATGAGGTCCAAAAAACAGACTCCATTGGCTTTCATTGTATGGACAATGAAAGAGACATTTTTCATACAGGTTTGGAACGACATAAGGAGGAGTAAATGATGGATTTTCATTTTATAGTGAACTGTATCTTCAAGGTAACTTTAGAGATTGTCTGTTCTGATTAGGATCAGCATTGGCTCTGAACAAAGCATCCATTGTCAGTTTTGCTATATATGAGGCGTCATGCTCAGTTAGCTTAGTCAGTGAGTAGCATGTCCTCGTTGAGAGGAAGATGTTGTGGGTTGGTACTCTCGCCATCAGTTGGCTGGCATTAGAGGGATTTCTCCCGTCTGGGGAGTGGGGTGTTGGTGTTGGGGCTTCCTGAGATAGGAGGCTTTATCAGGGTGCTGGAGATGGGGATTACGGGAGCGGAGGGTGGTTGGGGGTTGGGTGTTGGCCAGGAGGTCTGCTGGTTTAGGGAGCTCTGCTGAACCAGCACAATGAGGATCAAACTACTTGAGCATCTCAGATACACATTCACGCTCATGTCTCTCCCACACCATCAGCTTGTCGTGCCTCGAGCCGAATATATGTTCACTGACATCTGACCTTTATCACTTGGTGGCGACATTCACACCACTCTACCTACCAGCGAGCAGCCATGTGACACTGTTGATAATCTAATATTAATAATGTTTGATGATTCATCATATGTATTGATTCAGACAAAAAAGGAAGGAAAGAAAGAAAGAAAAATGTTTTTGAAAGTAGTCTCTTTTGCTCACCAAGCCTGCATTTATTTGATCAAAAACACAGTAAAAACAGCAATACTGTAAAATATTATTACAACTTAAAATTACTGTTTTCTATTTGAATATATTTTAAAATATAATTTATTCCTGTGATCAAAGCTGAATTTTCAGCATCATCACTCCAGTCTTCAGTGTCACATGATCCTTCAGAAATCATAATAATATGCTGATTTGCTGCTCAGGAAAATGTCTTATCAGTGTTGAACAGTTTTCATATATTTGTGGAAATCTTTGAAGAATTTGGATTTTCTGATGAATAGAAAGTTTAAAATAACAAAATTTATTAGAAATAGAAATCGCTTTCTAACCATATAAATGCCTTTACTATCACTTTTGATCAATTTCTCTCTATGCAAGCCTGTTTCCGCTATTGAATAAAAAATACTGATTTTTTTCTCAGAATTGTGTAATATAAACTTGCAATTGCGAGAAACGAGTCAGAATTGTGAGATAAAAAGTCACAATTACCTTTTTTATTCAGTGGCAGAAACAGGCATACATTGCTGAATAAAAGTAATTTCTTAAATTTTTTTTCTATTTTCTGGGTAGAAAGAAAAAAATATCATTTATTTTTTGCACATTTGTTATGTTTTTAGGGTTATGCATATTCATTTCAGACAGCTGTGAATCTCTGTTCCCTACAATGTCACACAAGCTCTCATTTTAGCAGCGCTACATTTAGTTAGAGTGACGTGACAAGGGTGACCCCCTTCACTAATTCATCAGTAATTTAGTGATTGTTTGTTTCTGTGTTTACCTGGTAAGATATGACCTTTAAAACCCCCTCTGTCTCTCTGTCTCTTCCTGTCTCTGCCCCACACCCAACAGCTGGGGCTGCTAAAAGTGATATTTTGCTCTGGGCGTGACGGCACGACCTACGATCATTCATCCTTCCTCTTTGTCGTCATAATTTGCTCTCCCTTCTGCATCTCTTCATTTCTCTTTGTGCTTCTGCTCTTTGTCGCTCTCATGCACAGAAGAAAAGGCTTCCCGCATCTCCACATCAACAGAACCACCTAAATAAATTGCAGATAAACACTCAAACATACTAAAATATCACAGATATTGTGTTTTTAACACTGATAAAAACACATACGCTACAAAACCTAGTGAGCTGTCTGCAGACACCGCATTTAAAGTCACTATGAAATCAAAATGGACAATGGAATATTATAGTGTTTATTATAAATTATTTATCCATGCACATCATTTTTTTTTATTTCATGTGCCATTGTAATCTTTAACTAAATATATTAACTTTCTCTAATGATGCTTCCACTTTTGAATGCAAGAGTTTTTAGCAAAAATTATATTTTAGTCAGTCGCTCCATCTGTTTGTTGTAAATTTTCTTACTGAATGTCAAGAAGAGCCGTTTTCCAAAATGGAAACACTCACATGACTTTCAAGTGATGGTTCACCCAAAAAAGAAAATTCTGTCATTAATCACTCACCCTCATGTCGTTCCAAACCCAGAAGACCTTCATTCATCTTCAGAACACATCTGAAGGTGTGTTCATGAATGAATAAAGTCATTATTTTTGTTTTCTTTGCACACAAAAAGGGAACGTGGCAGTTTCCTTGCTGTATATGGAGGGTCAGGAAGCTCTCGGATTTCATTAAAAATATCTTAATTTGTGGTCTGAAGATGAACGAAGGTCTTACGGGTTTGGAACGACATGAGGGTGAGTAATTAATGACAGAATTAAAGAACACTTGCATCTGACTTGAAGACAAGCCACTTTAAAGGCAGAGTAAGTGATTTCTGGTAGCCAATGTTGATACAAGTCCTGTACTACGCCAGCACTCCACATTTTCGATTTCTTCCTTATTTAACAGTTGCAAAGTACGAGAAGATCTCTCCTCTGTATTGACGAACATCTGAGTGAAACAGATTATCAAAAAATAAAAATAAAAACGGGGACTTGGTTTCGTCCATCAGATGATTGGATGGAAGCAGATCTGAATATGAGGTAAAAAATGTATTTGAACATGCATAATTTTCACAAAAAGATAAAAAAAGATAGGGTGAATTTCAATTAACCCTTATTTTTTAAATCAAGTCAACCCAATAAGTTTATCTAAGGGTTAGAAGGCTTCTACATGGGCAGCACAGAGCTAAAAACACACTCAATTCCAACTAATTTGTAGCAGTCAGTTGGCCCTACTTTGTCAGTCCTCACACCCTTGTCAGCTTTGGTGTTTCTTATTTTGCCTTGTCTCTGTTTCTCTCTCTCCTCCTCCTTGTCTCACTCAATCCCTCCGTTTCCCTGTCTGCATTAGCGTTTGCTAGGATGAAAAGGGTCAGTAAGGACGGCGGACTCTGTTGGTTTGCCTACTCCACAAAGCCGCTGTCAGTCCCTATAAATCATCCTTCAGCCCAGGACGCCTTTTTTTTCAACTTTCTATTCATCAGAGAATCCTAAAAAAAAAAATATCACCTGTTTGTACAAAAATGTTAAGCAGCTCAACTGTTTTTAACATTGATGTTTCATTTTTAAAAGTCTTAGAAAAATGTAAAGGTAATTCCAAATTCTAGATTAAAAAAAAAAAGTTTTCTTAGTAAGAAACCTGATGTTTCTGTGGAAGTTCAGTATGATACGAAGGGCCCATATTTTCTAAAAAAAAAAATATCACCTGTTTGTACAAAAATGTTAAGCAGCTCAACTGTTTTTAACATTGATGTTTCATTTTTAAAAGTCTTAGAAAAATGTAAAGGTAATTCCAAATTCTAGATTAAATGTTTTCTTAGTAAGAAACCTGATGTTTCTGTGGAAGTTCAGTATGATACGAAGGGCCCATATTTTATTTGCCAGTAAGTAACTATATAGTATAGCATCTATAATTGACATTTGACACAATTGACACTATATGTAGCAATGTTATACTAAAAAAGGATAAATCTTGCTATAATAAATGTACTCTCTTGCTAGTGCCATATATACTAACTACACTGTAAAAAATATATATATGTTTTGATTATTATCATTAAACATTAAATGTTTCCATCCATTTAACTGGTAGCATAATTTATAAAATTATTTTATTATTAATAAAACGTTAATAATAATTATTAATACCTGATTATATTAAATATTGACTTGATTTTATTCAAAAACTATAAAATAATAATCATTATTATTATTATTATTATTACTAAATAAAAGTGTTTAAGAAAAAAATAATATAAAAACAATAGTTTTATTTTAAATTACAACTGTAAAATGTTGGAAAAAACAGGTTCGCTGTGCTTTTGGCCAAAATTTTGTGATTATTATTATTATTAATAATAAAAAATTACTGTTGTAATATTTCACTGTATAATAAAAAATTTTGTATTTAAGAAAAATAATATAGTAATAATCTTATTTTACATTACAACTTTAAAATTACAGTACTAATATTGATTCATTTATTCATTTTTAAACCTTAAACCATGAAACTTTTATTTTGATGGGGAAAAATGCAGAAAGACCCTAAAGCTTCTCTTTTGTTGATAAGTCCCTCTCATTAATTATTAATACCTGATTATATTAAATATTGACTTGATTTTATTCAAAAACTATAAAATAATAATCATTATTATTATTATTATTACTAAATAAAAGTGTTTAAGAAAAAAATTATATAAAAACAATAGTTTTATTTTAAATTACAACTGTAAAATGTTGGAAAAAACAGGTTCGCTGTGCTTTTGGCCAAAATTTTGTGATTATTATTATTATTAATAATAATAAATTACTGTTGTAATATTTCACTGTAAAATAAAAAATTTTGTATTTAAGAAAAATAATATAGTAATAATCTTATTTTACATTACAACTTTAAAATTACAGTACTAATATGTATGTCTCTTGATTCATTTTTAAACCTTAAACCATGAAACTTTTATTTTGATGGGGAAAAATGCAGAAAGACCCTAAAGCTTCTCTTTTGTTGATAAGTCCCTCTCATTACACGTTTGGTTGATGCACATTCATGTTAAAGCAACTCGGAGCAGAATTTAAGATGGAGTTCATATGGAGCATCATTTACTGTGACACAAGCTGAACTGAGACGCTGAAAACACCAGATCATGAGCTGCTCGTGTGTAAATCAACACAGTGCCGCGCTTTAGGCATGTGACAGTATCAAATTAAAATGTTGTGATTAATTGCTAATGCTTATATCACGGTATACGGTATATTATCACGGTGTTGAACGTTGCAAAAAAGTGTTGTCATAATGAAGTTTAACAGGTTTAATAACTTTTTTCTTAGAACAAAAAGAACTGAACATTTAAATACAAATAATCTTATTTTACATTACAACTTTAAAATTACAGTACTAATATTGATTCATTTATTCATTTTTAAACCTTAAACCATGAAACTTTTATTTTGATGGGGAAAAATGCAGAAAGACCCTAAAGCTTCTCTTTTGTTGATAAGTCCCTCTCATTACACGTTTGGTTGATGCACATTCATGTTAAAGCAACTCGGAGCAGAATTTAAGATGGAGTTCATATGGAGCATCATTTACTGTGACACAAGCTGAACTGAGACGCTGAAAACACCAGATCATGAGCTGCTCGTGTGTAAATCAACACAGTGCCGCGCTTTAGGCATGTGACAGTATCAAATTAAAATGTTGTGATTAATTGCTAATGCTTATATCACGGTATACGGTATATTATCACGGTGTTGAACGTTGCAAAAAAGTGTTGTCATAATGAAGTTTAACAGGTTTAATAACTTTTTTCTTAGAACAAAAAGAACTGAACATTTAAATACAATAAAGCAATACACAAAAAATGTATAAAGTAAAAAATTTCACGCAGATTAAAGTGCAAAAAGACCAATAGGTAACACTTTACAATAAGATCTCATTAGTTAACCTTAGTTCATGATTAACATTAACAATGAGCAATAGCTACATTTGCTACAGAAGTTATCGATCTTTGTTAAAAAGTACAACTGTTAGTTCATGTTAGCTTGGGCTCAGAGTAGCAACTTTCGTGTTATTAAATATTGATATTAACTAAGATTAATTAATGTTTCTAAGAATTTCTCATTGGCTGTTAACTAATGGAGCCTTAATGTAAAGTGTGACCGAACTATAAGGAATCAAAACACTTTCAAACAATATCTAGGGCATGTTGTAGTCCAGATTAAAATGTAAAGAAGTTTGAAAATAAATAGCCCATTAATCCTAAGTATTGAAGTATTTGCCGAATACAAAAATCTGAATGGATGTTAAAATCATTTAAATACGTTTCAGAAAGTAGCGCAGCTGCTTCGTTTACTGGGTTTCCGGGGTAACGACTGCATTTCAAGGTATTTTGAAGTGCCCACGATAACAATATTGTGCATATTCATTATCGCGATATATCGCATTACTGCGCTTCACTCTGAAACACGCGGCACGTATATTTAATTAACCAAATAGCAGCCTTTGCAATCTGATAATTGCACTAAGCCAAATCGCGATTTCAGTTTTTATTTTCAAACAATTCCTGCAGCCCTAGTTAATAGTTAACTCTCTCTCTCTCTGTGTTTGTCTTGGCAGGTCACCTCCACCCCTTACCTAGACTTCAGCACTGCCTACACTCAGTACGCCTCCTCGGCCTTCGAGCAGTTCGAGCAGTACCCCTCGCCAGGCTTCCTGAGCTACATGTACCCTCCAGGCACCCCCGGGCCCTCCTCCGCCACAAACACCCCGGTCCCCACAGCCCTCCCCTCCATCGGAGGCGCCCCCAGCACAGCCTTCATCCAGATCCCTGCTCATCAGCTCCACGCCGACCGCCTGTAGATCAGGCCACAGGGACCCACCGGGTTTGCTGATATTGCACTATAACATCATCATTTTGGGACAGGGAACTGTGACATCATCAGCCTGAGACTGGGGGCGAATACAAAGGGGCTTCAAGTTATTCTGCTTTTCATCAACCCTAAGTTTATGGACTTTTACTCTGACTGGTTACTCTTTATGATTAATAATGATATATTATTGGTAGAAGATTGTTGAATAATCAATATTAGATGAATAAATGGCGGATTGCAGGGTTGTAATGCAGACGGATCCAACGAATGAGAAGCGAGAGGTTCTACACACACAACCGTTCAAAAGTTTGGGGTCGGTAAGATTTTCTAATGTTTTTGAAAGACGTCTCTTATGCTCACCAAGCCTGCATTTATTTGATTAAAAATACAGAAAAAAACTGTAATATTGTGAAATATTATTACAGTTTAAAATAACTGCTTTCTATTTTAATATGTTTTAAGATGTAATC